GAAACCGAGTGGATGGCTGGGTGGTTACGGAATCGCACACCACCGCCGATCGTGCTGTCAGTGCCATTATTTTTTAATGACACCCCAGTCGTGCCAGGCAGATTGCGCGTTTTCCTGCTGCAATACCGCCGCGGGCGATCAGGGTTGAAAACAGTGCACGGTGCATGTCGTGAAAATAGGTACATCTACCTTTTTTTCAGCGATTGCCACGCAGATGTAACCCCATACATGCGGATGCAACCGCTGTATGCAACCACACACGACCGCACGTCCTGGGAATTCCCAAGTCTGCACCAACCCTAAAGGGTATTTTCACTTTCCCAAGTAATTTGGGAAAATGGAATTACCCGCACAAATCTCCCTCCCACTATACTTACCTTTCCATGTATTGTGAATTCCGCTCGCAAATTGCAAGCACTCGGTCAACGCAGTCACCTGACGGCACTGACCAATGAGAAGTGCTTCTTAGCACTGCTAAATACGATTTTGGTTAAAATTATTATTTTTTTGTATCAGGACAAGTAGATTGCCATGAGGGACAAGTAGATTCGGCCCCCGCTTTAGTCCTTGGGCAAGTAGTTTTTTCTAAAATTTCCACACCCCTGATGTTCTTTTGTCCTCAGCATATACAAAAATCTGGCTGCACTCGTGATGTATTGTATTTGTGAGTGTCATAATAATGGGAATGTATAATTCTGCTGTCAGTTATTTTGTGGGGGGTTTTTCCCACCATTTTTATTAATTAAAATCACTTTACAGGGTTCTATTTTCACTTTGATATGGAAGAGTCATATTTCTGTCAAGGTAGAAAAAAAATCCACCATTTAATCCTCTATAATAATAATAATAATATAAGAAAACTTACAAGGGGATGAATACTTTTTATAGGCTGTATACAGTATAAGCATGCATCAATTTACATTGGGGCTCTACAACCTACCCATTGTTATTGTTGACCTTTGTTATTTTCCTCTTCATATTGATCAATAGAGGAAGAGCATTTTAATGTCTATGAAATCAAATGTTTAAATTGTTTTGAACATCTGGACCTCCAGTCTATTTACCACTAGAGAAAGCTAAAGGGAGGACAACTTTCTTTTGGGGATAAATAATCAGTGTGTCTCTCTCTTTTTCGAATCATGGTGAATGGGAACATGAAGAGGCTTTAAAGACTGTGGTTGATTTACTGTACAAGTAAAGGCTATTCACTCTGCAAAGTGAATTTTGGTGAAAAGGTGTACCCAGCTTTACTCTTTTTTACTCAATTTGCATTTGAGAAATAAATCCTACAGGATGCTTCCATGGCACCGCGTTTGCAGAGCATTCTGGACTTTTTGGCTCTCTCTAATCAATACTTCATGTTGAGCCCAGTAAACTAGATGGATATCCTCCTTTGACTTGTTCATCTATGTGTGTGTTTACACTCTCTCTACAGCACAGTAGTAGACAGATACATAAATCTTATAGCCAGCACACTCTAGAGCTCCAACTGCTGGCTTAACATGATATATATATACACATACATATATATATATACACATACATACACAGTACTTCCTGTATAGCTGCCTAAAAAGAGATTTTAAAAAATCCCGTTGTCCTAAACCTAGTAAAGAAAATATATACAACAACGTTATAGATTATTTTTTTTGTAAATCTACGTTTTGTAGTGCATTACACAGGGCAAGATCTCATTTTGTTAATCAAGCGTCTGGTGCTACCTCCTGGTGTATGGATGATTAAGATGTGGTTTAGAGTAAAAGAAGTGGAGAGTTGTTGTGATAAAGGCACTAGGCATTTGTGAAATCTTTGAGAAGATGATTTGAACAAATGGGGACAACTAGTACATTACAAGAAAAAGAATATGGATTCCAAATGCATAATGATGTGCTCATTTCTGTCTGCCCTTTTAACTTTTTATGCTACTTGGGAAAATTTGACTTGCATACTAAAGTCAATTGCAGTAGAAATGAACGTTATTAAACTGTAATTAGGCGCTTCTGAGCTTTTTAATTAAGAACCATGTGTCAGCCCATGTAGCCCTAAGTCCTTGCCTCCTAAATTACTCTGATTGTTACCAACTTTGACCATGTTTTATCAAACTTTTTATGGGTATTGGGATGTAGTAAGCATGATTAACATTTTGTTTGATTTAACAGTGTTCTGCATAACATAGTTGAGGAAACACACACTTCATAGAAGTCAAAGATTTGAAGAGAGCTATTAATGCTGTCCAGCAAATATAGCTACTATAAGTTTGGAAATTATGTGTTATACATTTAATTATTGATATTAGGCTTTGTGTCAATTATAGATAAACTCTTGGCAGATTTTAAAGACACCAATAATTGTAGTTATGTATCAAAAAATCATTAAATGTATTTTAAATCGGGGGTGTCATGGTCTTGTAAGGAGCAGTGAAAACAGCATGCCAAGCAGCAGAAGGAAAGGGAAAGCGAAAGATCATAGCCCGATACAGTTGCCCATTGTTTGTTTTTTTGTTTTTTTTGCTCTTGCCTCTATCACTGGCTGGGGAAAAACCAAGATGGCACACACTTCTGCCTCATGTGGCCTTGCTCCAAAAGAGAGTAGATCCGCCTTTCTAGTGCTCAGACTACTCCCTGCTCTACCACATTACCCACACAGATATAGGCAGCCTTTCCCTCTCTCTGATCACACCCCCATCATCATCACCGCTACTCTTGGGGAACCTAGAACCTTGAACCTAGGAATTAGCATTGGCACCGCAACAAAACACATACATTGACATTGGTTGCTTCACATAACCTAAGGCTGCGTTCACACCTGACCGTTTTGTAGCGCGTCCTACGCTCGACGAACGCGCTACAAAACGGTCAAAAAAATAAATAGCATTGTAGTCAATGCCCTCGTTCCCACCTAGGCGTGGGAACGAGGGCATTGACTACAGGCCCACGCCTGAAAAGGTCCCGGGACTACTTTGGGCCGTTTTGTAGGGCGTTTTCCATTGGGATACAGCCAAGTAGGCTTTGGAATCGCGCGACGGTTGCGCAACTTTTTTACCGCGAATCGCGGTAAAAAAAACGCGTGACGGTCGCGCATATTACAATACGCCTAGGTGTGAATGGGGCCTTAGAGTGACCTCAAACCAACTCATCTGCCAAACTCTCTTCATACACAATTTGCGAGGCACACCAGACCTTTATCAAGCATACCTTGATTAGGCAAGGTGCCAAACTCAAATGACTGAAACTACAGCAAATCACAGATCTCCCCATTTAAGTGAACACCCCACTAAACTAAATACCCTGATATCTTCTTGCCCCAGACCTCATTAAAACATTCATGCTCAACTTTCCCCTGCTTTTAGAGAAAATTAAATCCGCCTACAGCAATGGTCACAGTGCCCCTTCATGGGCTGTTAGATGTAATATTCTGCATCGGAACATCTTGCTCAGACTTTAGACCCCCTGCAAACACTACATCCCACTGTTCTTCCTAAAATCTTCATGTTTACTCCTTCACAAATTCGTTTGGTGCAACAAACTAGCCAAAATAAAACACCCCATACTACATACAGCCCAGAGTGAATGGGCCTTGGCCTTTTCAGATATCAAATTATACCATGCTGCCATAGATTTCTCCCATATTATTGACTGATGCAGACATAGTGGACTTAAGCTCTTGTTACCCATGGAACAGGCTACATTTATAGTCCCCCATGTACTGCCTTGGTGCTTAAACTCCATCCGCTCAGCTATCAAACTCCACCCAATGGTGGGACCCACTTGAATGACTGCCTGGAGACTACTTTCTGATAAACACCTCTCAGTGCACCCCACTGCTCCTGATTATTGGGAATTTAGCGTTCACTCCCAGACTGCATGATGAAGCCCTTGCCTGATTGAAAAAAGTAAGCAAATACAAAGGGAGCACTTTATTACTTTCTCCTCAAGGCTGTCTCTCATCATAATGTCATTAGATCCTGACCTAGTGTCTTTGCAATACTGGAGGTGGAGGGAGTTATTCATTTTCTTTTCATCCTACCTGCAGCCACAACTGTCAATTGACCCTTGTCTCCCATTGAACAAGAGTGTACAAAAACAGGACATGTCAACAACATCCTCTCCCTATGCCACCTTCTTTTTTCACCACAGTTCCTTTCCTCTAAAATCTTACAAGAGGTTGGTCATAATCAATCTGGTCAATGCCACCTGTGCCTCCCTCCCAGCCCTCTGGAAACAACCCAACCCACCTGCCGTACAGCAATGGCTTAATAGACTTAATAATATTAAACATGGATGATCTCATCAGTTCCAGCCAAATTGGGATAACACATACTCTGTATTTGTTACATGTTGCCATTCACATGGTATAACTTACAAAAATGTTTGCTTTTTTACCTGCCTAATAACCTAGCGTACCCCTATGTAATGTTAAAGTGACACTAAACTCAGAAGTTAAATCTTTAAAATGCATTCAAGTACCCTAATTATTAATAATACTGTACTTTCTTTGTGCATCACTCAAGCTGTAAATCCTCAAATCATCTCTGAATTTATGCTGACACAGTCCTTCCTTCTGGAGGGTGGCTACTTTTTGTTCCCCATGGCCCCTGTATGTGCTGTAAAGTAGTTACCGCTCCAAGCTCGCTACCATGAAAGACTACAATCTTAATACAAATGAGTAAACTAAATGTGAAATTGTAGTCCATTTCTCTTCATTCCTCCCCTTCCCCTCTTTCTCACCCCTCCTTTTTCTTCCCTTTTTATTATATACACCCCTTACTACCTTTCTTTCTGTTCTTCCCGCCTTCCCTCTATATAATAAACCACTGAGCGCTGTTAGAATGTTTTATGCATATCTTTAAAGCTCACATTTTCTTCATGCAGTGTTTAAAAAGTTGACCATTCTAACTTGGAAAGCTAAATTAGAAGTTAATGAATTATAGCAAATGTAGATAGATTAAGATAATTCAGTCTTTGGTAATGTTGATTGATTTTATTTGTGTTGTTTTTCAGGTGGTGTTAGTGAGATGGAACGAACCATTCCAAAAGTTGGCAACCTGCGATGCAGATGGAGGGATATTTGTGTGGATCCAATATGAAGGCAGATGGTCTGTGGAGCTGGTCAATGATCGAGGAGCACAGGTGAGCGGTACACGGAAAATCTTGTAGATGAATGTGATATATTACATTTTACTTCTTTACCTTAAATTAGCTTTTGCATTCTATTATTTTTGGTGTGTTCAGATTTGGTGTATTATCTATATTGTCCAGAAAACGTGTGCTCAAAGGGTAGCCTTTCCTCCTGCTGGGAACAAACTAGCTGTAATAACCTTTTATGTTTGGAGATGGAACTCAGCTGCGGATCTCCTTCCAACAAGGGAAATTAGCAGTCACTTCACATGGTAGTTCAATAATCGTTTTAAGTAAGGAAGGGTCAAAAGGTGGTACTTGAAATGTTCACTTAACAAACAAGCAGCAAAAGTCAATTGGTTGACTGAGCAAGTAACAACCCGGGTATTTGCAATGTTCACTTCACATCACAAGTGCATATCACACAGGATTGTATGGCTAGGATAAACGGAGGTGTTTGTAATGTTCACTTCACATCACTAGCAAAGTCAGTTAAGTTGCATAAGCAAGTCACAGCTGGAGTAATCAATACTTGCTGTTAGGAGTACACTGGTTAGCAGGTAAAGGTAATCCTGGAGTCTGTATCCTGGCTGTAGTAGCTGGTATAGCCGCAATGTAAGGATGGGAAGCACAAGAAGTCCCAGCAGGATCAGGAGGGTGTGCAGGCTCTGGAGGGTCCCATGGGGACAGCCTATCATTTAGGATTGAGAGCGTGTCTGTAGGGAGCTTTGTCCAGCATCTGCATTCATTGCAGGAACATCAGACAAGTGAACCCTTGCTGCTTAAGCTGAGGAGGGCGGAGCAGCGTGATGTCGACAGACCGGGGGCGGAGCTACCCTCTGTGTCTGAGACGTCGAGGCAAGCATAGCAGGTCTATTACACTAGCTGCACTTTTTAAAAGAAATGAATGTACTAGGAACATCTTAATAACTGTGAATTATATTACCACATTGAACCTAGAGGGTGAAATGGTAATTCTGCCAAAAACTGATATTTCAGTATTTATTGGGCAGTGATGGGTTGAATCATCTGTCTTCTTTTTAGATCCCTTGAAGACTCTTAGTTACAACATTTCCCCATCATAGATTTGGAATCGTTCTCCCTTGAGTGTTACAAGGCAAAGATTTGCTCTCAGCAGCCAAACAGAACTGTGGCGCAGAAAAAGGAACATGCATCCGGAGGAGTTTTTTTTTTGTTGTTTTTTTTTTTTGTTGTTTCTTTTTTCTCGTCTCCACCACCACTTCTTGCATAGATTTTAGGGGTTGGCACATACTTAAGCAAATGGCCAGTGTTTGTGTTTGGCCATCCTTTATTATGATGATGATTACTATGCATACTATAATGCGTGTTTACAATGCACGTACTGTCCATATTTTTTCAGGTTTTTCTTCTTTGGTGTAACTCTGGAAATATTGTTCTATTGTGACTTTTTGTGCGGAAATCTTAACATTCATGTATGCATTTTTATGGCTACCTGCCTGTGCATATTTTAAATGGTCTCGCTCTCAAAAGCATATTAACATGGCAAGACATAAACACAAATCTCTAGCACAGAAAACATTTCGCATGTTTAGAAATGACTCCAGACATTGACGTCATCTTGTTGCCTGCAATAATGATGCTAAGTATGGCAGCCTGAGCATCATAATCTATTTAATGGGCTTTTGCATGAGGCCATTTATCTAAATTACCAAAACTGGATCAAATCTCTATCATTTCTACTTTGATGGAATTGCTTGCTCTAATACATTTGATTGAAATGCCGTGCATGTAACTCCTTTTAATGACGTTATAGCTGAGGTGCAAATGTGCAGAACTACTTTAAGGAGGGTAATATACGAAAGAAAATTGCCAGCAAATGTAGATTAGATTATAAGGTGTAGGTGAAGAAAGTTTTATCACCAGACATATTTATTATCGACCTAGTGAGAGAAGTAAAGCTAAATGCAAGTTGCCTTAGATACGATAGAGAACATTTTCTGTGCAGTCTATTGTATTTTATTTTGTGTTGTCAAATATCTTATGCTAAGGAAGACTTACAAATGGCAGTTGATTACAATCTTTATTTAGGGTATCTCTACACTATTGTGTATAAGAACAGGTATATGTTATGGTATTTAAAGTTTTAATGTAGCTATAGGGAGCAGTGCCTTCTATGGCATCACACAGTGAACTTACCTGATCCTTTGCAGAATATATAGATTAAATGTGACATGCTGCACAGTCATATTCTAAGGTTACCATAAAATATGAAGCTTACCTTTAGGCGAAAAAGCTAAATGCACAGTAGGCTGATGTCACGTTTCAGATTCTGCTGCTACGGTAGTAACACAGTGCCAGCAGCAGAATCACTGAAATGAGGCTTCTGTTTTTTTAATGGAATTGCTCACTTAATGGCCCACTGTTCTGCCACATCTCACTCATTAGCGAGGGAGCCACTCTAACAACTTCCAAAGAGATTGCCACGGCACTCCTTACTGGTATGTCCCTTTAAAGGGGGTGTTGCAGTGATAGTGGATGGCACCACTTCAAATCTAAGAAGTAAAGTATATCACCAGCACACCAAAGTAAAATCTTCAACGAGTGGTCATTTTATTAATGTACCCACATCTTGTCTTAAAACAACAAACGTTGCTTTATGACAAGATGTGGGTACATCAATAAAATGACCACTCGTTGAAGATTTTACTTTGGTGTGCTGGTGATATACTTTACTACTCTGTAACACCTGGTATGTTGGTAATCTTTTGCAGGTAAATTGTCACCAGCGAAATGGGACATGGACCTAAAGGCCAACTGAGGACATACTTTTAAGTGCAGGCTGTCATAGGCTCATCCCCTGAGGGGGCCACACCAAAGTCACTTGCACTAGCAGTGGAATGAGGCAGATCAGTGCTGACATCATTAATCCTTACAAGCTGGGATAACTGTGTTTCAGAAGGGAAACTGGTGGTTTTTGGTTCAGTTTTAAGTTTATACTTTTTAAACTGATTAAATACACATACACATTTTTGCTTTACAATTCAGGGCAAAAGTGTCACAGAGCTGTTAGCTAAAATGAGAACATTCATTCTGATTAAGGAAATAAAGGGAAGTGGTACAAAACCACAGTACTTTAAAATAAGAAGGATGGTGGCTCTGGCTTCCTGCAAGTAATAGATATTTTTAACTGAGCTTTCAGGCTGCTGCCATTTATTAAGGAAAAGTGCTTATCAAATATCCATAAAAATGTAAGACTATGGTGTTTTGGTGTCATTAACTACTTCAGGACCGCCCACCGTCAAAAAACTTCATGTCCTGAAGTAGTTATACCAAGAACACGGCTGCTGTTGCAGTGGAGTTCTTGATATTGTTTTAAACAGCAGGCAATTGCTGTTCAGATACAGGCGTTCTGGCAGCTGTGCAGCCGCTGAATCGCTTCTACGGTACAGCAGAATGTACCCCCCCCCCTTTTTGCCGCCGGCTTCCCCGTGCTCCGCCTTGTGGTGGCCCAGGACTGGCACAGCAGGTCTCCCCTGACAGTTTGGAGGGAGTTCAGCTAGCTTATAGCCGCTGATCTCTCCTCTGATCACTGGGCCCAGAAGTGATGTGTATTACATCTGTTATATTCTCCGGCTCTTCGAGCCAGAAGAAGAAGCTGGTGAAGCAGGTCTCTGCTTCATCAGTGTCTTTGGGGTCCCTAGGTGACATTTGGGGTCTGAAAGACCTCTGATGTCTACATTAAAGAGGACTTATCACTTTATATTTGCTATTACATTGGGGGCTTATTAGCCCCCTATGTGATAGCAATAAAGTTGAGTGTAAAAAAATAAATCACACACACACACAACTTTTTTTAACCACTTGCTGACTGGGGTGTGTATACCTTCCTTCCTTCATCATGGTCATGTGGGTGAATGAGGAAGGGGACCCTTTGAGGCCCCGAAAAGCGCTTGCATTGAATGGCAATGTGTCATTAAATAGACGATTGCTAAACTACTAATTGGCGTGCTGGTGTCTTTATTTCTTCATTTGAGGTGTTCACGGTGCCATCCGTGTTCACTACAAGCACCCACCCATCTGCACGGGTCTATTGGATGTTCTGGTAAGGAGTGCAGCAAGACCTCTGGTTCTGAATATTCTTTGTGCACTGGGCTCTGCATTCTGCACTTTCCAGACCTTTTGTGAACTGTTAGCCATGGAGCGCTTTCCAGGTCTAGAGCCTCTGCGGTGATAATGTTTCTGATGGCTCACTTTGTGAGTAGGTCTTGTGGGCTGAGCATTGTTTATTAGACCCATTGGGTGCCATTATTATCCCTGTTTTCTGTTGGGTTTTCTATGGAAAGGGTTACAGTGCTGAAGGACTGTGTTTGTTTATAGGTGGAGTGCATAGGTGCACATTCCGTGCTCTTGTTCCCACTATTCAGCTTGAGGTAGCACGTTCCCACCACAGTTCTGTAACAGCCACAGCCTGGTCAGTGCTGGCGGAGCGGCTCAGGGACGGACTGCGCAGGCGCGCCGTGGGTCGGTGGCCCCGGGCAGCCAACGTCAGAGGGAGACGTCCGCTGCTGCTTTACAGCGACGCCCTGCGCAGGCGCGTGGGAGGCTTCCTCCGTCGCTTCCCCGTGACGCGGCCACGTCGGACGCAGGAGCGTCTTGCAACTCCGCCCCCTCCAAACGCAGCACCCGGCTTAAAAGCCGCAGCTCCGGTATTGATCGGCGTCTTCAGTTGAGTGTACTGGACGCTGACCAAACCAGCTCCACACTCGCCCCCCTAAAGACCTCAGCCACCTTATCCTGGCTGAGACTACAAGCACCTTAACCGCAAGTACTCTGGAATACCGCATGCAGCATTTCTGTCTTCCACAAATAAGCTAAGTGCTCTGGGAATACTATATACTGCATTACTGTCGTTGCACAATACAATCTGAATACTCTGGGAATATTATATACTGCATTACTGTCGTTGCACAAATACGCTAAATACTCGGGGAATACCAACTTTGGATTATGATGTCCTTATCCTACCTGCATACTTAACCATCCATTGTTGTATCCTCCCCCTGGTGCTGATCAGAGGTACAGCACAGTGGGAGGCTGTTCCCTAAAGTAACGTTACGAATTATACGGGGTGTGATGTGCTGCAACTTACTCTTGGCCTCATTCCAAAACTGGGCAAAAAGAGAATAAGTTGCTCTCTGATTCCCGTCCTATAGCGCTCCCGCTCATCTGCAGTTGTGATCCACTGTATCCCATAGGCCACACTCCAGGCGAGACGTTACAAGTTCCCAATCACAAGAAACATGCGGTTTCATCTCAATTAGTGGCATGTAAACAAATGGCTGGAGCAAGTTGTGACATCACGGGACTTTGGCCACCTATTTTTTTTCATTCCATACCAGCTCTCTGTCATCTAATGGAATGTAAACAAATGGTCGGAGTGAGTCATGACATCATAACATCACTGCCTTCAGCCAAACCAAATGCTTTCTTCAGCTGAAGCGAGCCGAAGGATTAGCCGAACTCTTCAGTCCAGGAGTCTATTCAATGTTTGTTTCTGCATTTAAGTACTGGGGCTAATGGTAGCCTCAGGCCTTTAAGGCAGTTGCATTTGCCTAGTTCCACTTCAGACCCCTACAGCTCAACATCCCATCATTGTGGGACAAATCGGTTTAGTACCTGGACAAATCGATTTGCGTGTTACCAAGGATCAGGTTGTCTATGGTGGCTTAGGTATCCAGCTTACTTCAAAGGGTTATTAAACCCTCGCATGTTTTTGCATATATCTACTGCTAGCAAGCAGTAGATGTATGCAAAAACATTTAAAAAACAACTTTTAAAAAGGGTTCATTCTTACCTGTGTCTTCGCCTTGCGCTCCCGTCCGAACATCTGAAGAGTCTCAGGCGGCCGCAAAGGATCTTGGGGCGGAGGCATGTGCACTTCAGATGTTCAGCCAGGGAAACAAGGAGAGACACAAAGTAAGTCTATGGAGCAGCGTGCACCCACAAGCAGACACCGTGGCACATGAGAGAAGAGGAGGACAAAGGAGTCAGCACTGGATCGTAGACCCGCATCCAGCGCTGGAGGGACAGCTTAAAAGGACAGGAAAGAAGAGGTAGATCGGCTTAAGAGACATCCTTTAAGGTAAGTCCCTACAGCAGGATTGGGAAGTGGGGAAAAAAATTTGACTTTAATGTCACTTTAATGTGTTCATGATTTAACACATTCAGCTCGATTTTTCATCTTTTGAATCCAGTAAAATGTATTAAAATGTATTTTATATGTTGAAATGTCTTGCCTTATCTGGATCCTCTAAAGGGCAGATTTATTGATGGCAAATGGTGCTAAACTCTCCTTTTAGTGTTTGTAATTTTGTATTATGCAGAGGCTTCATGGGAGTTTGTTTTTAATATAATTGCTTCTATTACATTGTAACATATTAACATTGTAAGTTGGGTAAACAAAAAAAAATACATTTACAACTAATTTACTCTTTACTTTACTGTTTTGTCTCATACAGGTTAGCGACTTTACCTGGAGCCATGATGGCACTCAAGCTTTGATCTCATACCGCGATGGATTTGTGCTTGTTGGTTCAGTGAGCGGACAGAGGCATTGGTCATCAGAGATAAACTTGGAGAGTCAAATAACCTGTGGGATCTGGACACCAGACGATCAACAGGTAAGTAATCCATTTAAAAACATATGTTTTGCCTCCTTTACATTAACAGTGTAATTTTTTTGCTCCTTGTGACTAAATACCCATTGATTTAACATACAACCGCTGGTTTTATTGAGATGATTATATATACATTTTGCAATATGTAACTGTTATAATAATAAAAAAGGATATTTTTAAATGTTTACAAAGCCCTTTCTACATGTGAACTTTGACAGAAGACATCTTGCACCACCATTAAAAGAGATTCTGTATTCTGTAGAGGGTAAATCTAGCCTTCAGGATCCGTACATTCCTATTGAAAGTCTCTCTAACATCCAACAAAGACTGACAAATCACTATTGAGTAGCTAGACCCCTTTTAATTCTACTTTTAGTTCTACTTTTATCCCTACCACTTTTTCTTTTTTTTCTTTGTTGAGACACGGCTCCTATAATAGGAAGTCATTGCTATAGTAACTGGAATGTTTGCATAAACACAGTGACTTTGCTCTCTGTTAGTCAGGAAGCACAAGAAAGAAAATTACATTATAGGAGCAGAATCTCCACGCTGGTTGCTAATATATCTTGGTTACTAAAGTGCTGGTCTGTATGAATAGTCTATGTGCAGACAGGAGAGGAACTTACAAGCTTTGAACGTGTATTGGTGGATGTTCGCGAAACCATTGAAAAAATCCGCAAACTCTGAAATTGGCACCCGAGACCCATTAAAGTCTGTTGGAGCTAAATCTTGTAATTTATTTTTCTAGGAAATTTGCATGCTTTTGTTAAAAAATAGGTGTGGATAGCTGGGCACTGCCTTGGGGGACGAGTGCTAATGCAAAAAATATATATATATATTTTGTGACGACTTTTATTGTCTAGTAACGCAGCAGTTGAAAATCAAATCAATAGGAAAAAATTGCAGAAAATTCAAAAATGGCTTGGCCAGCTGATTTGAAAAATGTTCCGGAGGGCTTGGCAGCAAAAGGGTTATTAAAGGGCATAAAAAATACTAAATTCCTTATAATAACATACACGAGGGTAGGCTTCAACCTGTAGTGGCATACCAGGATCATCCCAAGTCACATTCCCTCAACATGGGAATGTTGCCAGGGGGGATTTCTGCCCCCCATCATCATGAATGAGACACAACTAAAAATGTCAACAGTAAACTAACTGTAAGATTAAAGTGTATTTCTACATTTGCAGCCAAATTGGGATAACACCTATTTTATATTTGTTACATGTTCCCATTCACATTGCATAACTTGAAATAAATGTTTAAAAATGGCTGCTTACGTTTTTAAGCGCTTTTTACCTGCTTAAAAATCCCACCCAGCTTCTCTCCCTATGCAATGTTTAGGAGAGGTTTGTGGTAAGTAATGGTTAATTACTCTGTCTGTGCTGCGCTGGCAGATCTCATAATCGGTTGTAAACTGTCTGTCCTAAAAAGGGTTGAAGGCATAGAACAGTCGAGGACACATTAATATGCAATTTAGGGGGCAGTCTGTCCAATCCAGGAGCCAGCAGAATTTGTTTTTCGGAGCCAACTCTTTTTACATCCACTAGAGAAAACCTCAAAAGTTATGTCCCCAGCTGTACGTGATATCTTTGATGTAATATCAGCTACCTAGCTCCTGGGATTTGTCCAGCCCTGACTTCGAAGCATTGTATGCTAATTAGAGGAAGTTCAGTCTGTCTTTCTGTTTGTTCCTTCACTTTCATTTTTTAACTACTCAGAGTAGTTTGAAGGCTGCATAAAAGCCTTTACCAAAAAAAAAAAAATTAAAAGTCAATAAATATTTTATTAACTATATGTTTGGTATGCTGTGTGAATATGAACACATAACAAACATATAGTGGGGTTTTCTCATATTTTACTGCAAAAGTGGAAATACATTTTGAAGTCCATTTCTACCTTTGTAAGTGATTAGCATTTATTGTAGTAATCTAGAGGTGCAGTGATGATGTATATGTGCGCACATTTTCATGACTCACATTGCAGGCTTTCTTCATTTTTTATTAGCTTTTTATTAAGCCTGAATCCTAGAAAATCCAAATGTTCTTCACAGGAAGCTCAGTCTGACTCTGGGGTCAGATTGTAAAGCAAGCTTCCCCCCTCCCTGTGATTCTGTGTAAGAAGTCCTACACTGCCTTTGCTCACAATACACTGTTCGGGGGAAGAGGGGGGGTGCCACTATGAATACTAATATACACAGATTGCTTGCAGAGCCCAGAGGCTGCCATTTCCATGAGGATATGGAGGGGAAAGCTAACAATAATGCAAGTTTCTGTGTTTATATACAGCAACTGCATAAGCCTGCTTAATTTTCATGTGGTGTACATTGCTGGCATATGTTTTTTTTCAATACCTCTGCAAAGGTGGAAATGGGGTTTAAGGTTTTGGATGAACCACCCAGCATTTTAAGCGTGTGTTACAATGTACAGATTTCACTGTGTGTGTACATTTACTGTGCGTGCGTGTGTATGTAATATAATATACATTTTTTTTCTTTGTTAATTGTATTTTTAAAGGGATAAAACATAGAGGAATGGGCATGTACTGGGGACGTATACTGAATTTATTTTTTTTCTTTTGCCCTGACGCCCACTCTCAGCCCCTAGCGCCTGATCCAAAATCAATATAAAAACATACTCAATATAGTTAACCCTAAAAACTGATCACCTAAACACCTGAGTTATTTTTACCTCATGCAGAGAATGCACAGTACTAGAATTAAAAATACTCCTTAAAACTCCTGATTTGTTATAAAACAAAATAATGTTGAATATATAATCTCAGCCTTTAATATATTACGGTCTGTTTATCAATCTTTCCGAAACACTTTTTTTTACACAATGTTTCTAATTGCACAGTTTTATTACCCATTACTCAGCTTGATCTGATGTTTTTTAAAAATGTTTCTTTGTCTATTTAAAATGTAATTGCTCTCTATTTGTACGCCAACAGTTTGCTACTTTCGGAAAGGCTAATAATTGAACAATCTATTTTTATACAACTGTGTTATATTAAAACAGCATATGCTTTAGTTACATATTGAACATGTAAATACTCCTTCTTTTTGTATTTATAATCTCAACACAAAAAAAGTGGTATACAGATCACCTTGGGGGGCAAAAATCAGACTAGCTCCTGCTCTTCTTTGCAGTAATATATAGTAGGGTACAGCAAAGGGGGTAGCTTAAGGGGTAACCATTGGGCTTGGAAAGGCCAATCTAGACGTTTCAACAGGGATCCTATACCTTAAGTGGTCTGTCTATGACCTAAAAACCATGGGAAACGCAAATAAAGCTCTTTAGATTTTTTTTTCAGTTTTGAGCAGATAAATATGGTTTTAATCCTCCCAAGTGAAATCAAGTTAAATGAGTGTATATGACGATAATTCAGATGGCTGATGACGAGCAGGATTTAATGATGTTTTGACAATTAGCGACAGGGAGCAAATTTAGGTTAATAACTGCTCCTGAGATATCAGTTTCCAGCATATGGCCAATTCCAGAAATAGACGTACCATTAACCATTCTCACTACTTCATACTTCATACTGCAGCATTTAGCTTCAACAGATGCACACTGTATGCATGTTCACTAATTTGTAACATACAGTATTCTAATAACAAAGAAGAGAGAAATTTACAAAGAACAGGTACAAGAATGCACAGCTCTTTTTGGTTCATCTATAAACACCTTGTGTGTGTGTATGTATATATATATATCATACATACACTATCAGCCATTCAGCCATTTTAACCAGGACCGCCACTGCATTGTGGGGCTCCTAATCGTTGTTGCGGAATTTGGGTCACTTTAAGTGGACCTTGAGATTATAAAAGGTCTAATAGCCCTTGGCAACCAGGACTGTCACTGTAAAGGAAACTGCGTTCAAAGACTCAAGGATTTGAAATTTAAATAAGTTGTGGTGTTTTTTTTTAATGTGATAAAATAACAAGCTTATCTTGTTGAGCAGTGATAACCTTGACTTTGGTTTTTATTTGCACATTTTGTAGAACTTGTATCTTTAATTGCAAATTCTTGCTGTCTTCAGGCTAGGAATTAAAAAGCAAGACATGATCATTTTCTAATAACAAAATTCCAAAGGTCCAGCTTCCAATACCTTTCATGAAATTAAACATTGCAATTATTTCTAATTGGCTTTGTTACCTTTTGGATGCCTCTTGGATGTCTTGTTTTTATTACATCCTGAATGCTTGGAAACAGTCTCTGTACACAAATGGATCACTACAACGTGACAAATGAAAATTACTATTGAAATTTATTTGCCTTTTATTTCTTGTTCTCATCAACACTGGGAGACTTGCTGGATTATTGTTGTCAGGGAGCATTTGTACATATGTACCCAAAGAAGAGGCAAGTAACAAGAGCTGTGTGCTAAATTAAGTGTTTGTGATTGATGACAATACCTGACCAAAGTCAACAGGGAGTTGATCAAGAAGACAGCTAGAGATCATTTTATATTTATATCATGGTCCACAGACAAATTAGTATCATTGATAAATTGTGCATTGTGTTATTCATGTGGCACAGATGAAAAATTACCTATTCATCTCCGGTTCTATTTGATGCTTTGGATTATTGATGTGAAGTATGTATTTATAGCCTGTATGAAAAAACAAAGGCATTATAAGATAATGATATGTTTGAGTGTGTATATGCATATTTGAGCGTGTACACATATATGAATTCACAAAGCTAACTTACCGGGATAAGCATCCTTACTTTCTACACTGTGGAAGTGTGCTGTGCGTGTAATATGCGATGTATGTGTGCTGTGCGTGTATTATGCAATGTATGTGTGCTGTGCGTGTATTATGCGATGTATGTGTGCTGTGCGTGTATTATGCGATGTGCTGTGCGTGCATTATGCGATGTATGTGTGCTGTGCGTGTATTATGTGTTGTATGTGTGCTGTGCGTGTATTATGTGTTGTATGTGTGCTGTGCGTGTATTATGTGTTGTATGTGTGCTGTGCATGTATTATGAGTTGTATGTGTGCTGTGCGTGTATTATGAGTTGTATGTGTGCTTTGCATGTATTATGAGTTGTATGTGTTGCTGTGTGTTTTATTCTGTGTGTTGTGTGTCTATTATGTGTGCTGTGTGTGCAGTGAGTGGAGCCAGTGGCGTAACAACCGAGGAGGGGGGAAGACAGAGG